CCACGTGCGCCGACAAGACGGCCCGCTCCTCGGACATCCGATCCCGAAGAGCTGGTGGCCACACCTGCCGAGGGCACTGCTCCCGCGGACGATGGACCCCAACAACAGGCAGGCCAATCTGCTGAACCTCTGGTTGCCGTCATTGTGGATCTATCAAACATACCACTCACTGCCGAAGAGAAAGCGGCAAATGACAACATGCGAGCAGATCTATCAGCAGAGATCCAAGCAGATGAGCACGTCGACGCGAGCATCCTCGACAATATCATTGGCCCGCCAGATGACTTCCTCAACCACCCCGACTACGACCCAGAGGAGGACTGAAAGTGGATCGAACAATCATATGACCACCGCATATACCGCTGGACATCGCAGTTGTTGGTGGACTCACCTATGATAAAGGTGAGACAAATCATTGAGGTGCACACTGGCGCGGACAGATTTGTGGTGGATAAAGTACAGTCGTACTTACGATTCGAAATTCAATTCGGATCCAAAACATGGAATGCGGAGAAATACTATCTGGATTACAATCATACCCATAAATGGGCACGCGACTTGCCAATTTGCAGTGCAGATAGCTTCTTCAAAAAGTTGGTACATTACCTGGGCCCAGAGGTCATCGAGGAGTCGACTACAGGCGTCTTCCAATGGATCTCTAAAGTGTATCAAATCATATTGCTGGACAGTATTGGGGAGCTCCGTGACTTCACAAAAGATGCTATTCATCAGAACCATCCTGCACTCCAGACGTTGCGTGATCTATTTACACATTGCATCAAGACATTCGGCAATTCAGGCTTCCCCGTATGGACGGAGCTGGTGGAAACACCTGCCGCGCCACGTGACCCAGGCGCGGAGCAGGACATTCCCCAGGATCCAGGCAGCATTGCATCCGCAGCTCCAGATCAGGAAACCATGGTACGGATCATAGCCGAACAGAAGGGAATCAACCGCGAGGAGGGTGACAACGAGTCCGCCTTGCAGGAAGAGGCTAGCCGTATCCGTACAGAAAACGTATGCCACGGTGATACTGATGACGCGGACAACGACACGACCGAGCGCGTAGGACTGCCGGGGGAAAGATTGTCTAGGATCGAGATCGAGGGAATGAGCAGATCGATCGCTTCCCGACCGAACGCCGAGATCAACCGCGATGCCATGGATCAGATCGGCCGCAGTCTTGCTCGTGGTCGGGAAACTCGCTGGGGATCTCGTGATCACCTCACGATTGACGGAGCCCCAGAAGCTATTCAGCATGATATCGCGCGATGTCGGAATTGCGATCGCATCTTATCCCTAGGGATCGTCACAGACGAAGGTACCCTTTGTGACATCTGCTGGCAGTACACTGTTGCCGTAGGTGCTACGGGTAAAAGTACTGCCGTCGAGAGCGACCTGGCATACCTCCAGCAGCTGACCCACTGGATCAAGACGACGCTCTCCCAGGATGACATCACGAGGTACATGAGAGACGGAGCGCAGGTCATCATGACAGGCAAGCGCTCTGTTCCAGGCAATGAGAAAGATTTGCTGAGGAGAATGGCCAATTCCGCTAGGACAAGGTATCAGAAGTGGGTCGACTCTGGCTCCCCTCCTGCGCACATGTGCAGATTGATGGGCGAGCGAGAAGACGACAGACCTCTATGCCATCCATTTGCCAATCTCGTTCAGCGCTTTCTCAATGATTTGAAGTTCCACCACCAAATGACAGGCGCTCGTATTAATAAAGGCAAGAACGCCTATACCATTGAGGACATGCGCGGCGCATGTGAAATCCTCGAGACCAGCATCAGGACTGGCCAAGCTGGTCGGAAGAAATGGTGGTTGAACGCAGGCAGACTCGACAGAAGCACACGGCAGGCACGCGGACTTGCCGCGATTGCCCTCCCCAGGCGGGATGGCACCCGTGAGAGAGCCACGCAGCGCAAGCTTGCCGCGCTTGCTTATGGGTCGATGGGTTCCGCCTTGGGTTCCACTGACCAAAGGGGGGTTGATTCAGGGATGAGAACCGATCAGATCGAACCTGATACACACTCCCAGTACTCCGATGATGCCATGGAGCAACGCATGCCGCGGCACCCGCCGCCGCCGCCGCGCCCCGCTCCTGGCGATGCTGCAGGGTCCAGCGCCTCTGGCGCGCAGGACTACATGCCCGAGAGGCCGCGCGGCACTGCAGCACAGTGGCCAGACAGCGACGACAGCCGCAGACCTACTACACCTCCCCGCGCCAAGATTGCGCGCATGGCGGAGGACTGCGCTACATGGTGGCGCGACGACCTGGAGGACAGCCAGTGGGGCCCCAGATACTGGAGCTACTACATCAAATGCTGGATATACATCGCGGACAACAACGACGAGTTCGTCTACGTCCGCGACATCCAGTGCAATGAGTGGTTCCGCCACTGGATCCCGAGGACTCCCTGGGAGACCTTCAAGACGAGCTACGTGTCGCACGATGGCCACAGGATGTGGGACCGCAGGTTCTACGAGAGGGGCAACGCATAGTAGAGTCGGCCGCCAGGCCCACCGCTCGAAAGGCTTGAACTTCATTATAATACAAGTTCGCCTTGAGCGGTGGCTATTATATTCTTTTAGGCCACTTCGCTATCAAAGACAAGTGGCCACACACATACACGCGCATTCTGCGATAACCAAGGCAGCCTCCCAAGGAGCAACGCCAGCGGGATTCGCCAACTAGAGAATTCATACATATGCAACTTTTTCGTGCTTATCAACGCGACCTTGCGTCTGGCCAGACATTTGCTTTGATATATAGATATGTTTCGTAACACGATCGTGTTCATCAACACGATATCAGAATGCATTTTTCTTCTTACCGCTTACTCTTTAGACTCTGCTTACATTGCGTTGATAATGATCTGACGGCCAGCTCTCTACAGACAGCTGGTGGCAACACCTGCCTCGCTTATGCGAGGCAGATTCTGATGTTGCTGTAACTTGCTCAGATCCTCTTTCTCCGCCCACCCGTGTCTCATTCTTCTCCGCCCTCGAGTGCCGAAGCGTTTTTGGGGGGCGCGCCGAGGGGGCACCAAAGCGTGCTTGGCGAAGAAATTGGGACCCTGGGTGCTCCTTCTTACCTTACCCTGCAGCTGAGGCTATACTGATCTTGCGCTCAGCTGCCTGCAGACTTGAGGATTGAAGGAGTAAGAGGGTGACGGATTCTTTTCCTCTGTTCCCGAGCCCTACCCTCACGGGCGGGATTCGGGGCGGGGGGGGTGAATAGAACCCGTGTAATACCCTCATATAATACTCCTTATCCTCACCTCTCCTGCGCCTGGCCGTTTGGGCTCAGGTGTTGGGACAGATCGATCATTCTGCACCCTTGTACTTCAACCCCGTGCACACAATCGCCCATTCATCGCCGAGAGGCCCGACAGCCCACTCCAGCCAGGAACGTGCGGATTCGCTATCGGGGACCTAGCGCCGATCTATCGGCGATGCATCCTTGATTCCAGCTCGATGTTTCCCACCCTGAGCCGGTTCCCTCGTATCGCTGTCATCACAGATCGCGCACAAAATTCCCTCGCGTCGTGAACAAAACTCACGACGGACAGTGTTTTGCTATTTTCGGACTCTGGGGGCCCTCGCCGGGCCCGGTGGCTGTCAAAAAACAATTCGGGATGAGAATCCAGTTCAAGTGAATGGGTCTAGACCTCTGTGGGTCCACGTTGTGGAAAGATCACGATGTTTGAGATTTGGGTCGACTAGCCGATCCCCATCCCCATGGGGCCATCCTGGCATCTGCGCTGGGTCGGCCTGCACATTTGCAGGGGCGGTTCCCTGGTGAGCCGCTGGTCGACCCCAGCCGCAGGCGACGCGAGCGGCCCAGCGCCCTCGGTGAAGGAGACGAGTCCTTGCTATCGCTCGGACGTGTGCACCTTCCTCGGCGAGGACCGTCGAGGAGCATCCCAGATCATCTGGCGAGACGAACATTCACGAGACAGAAAAATGCAGGGGGAATGGTCCCCCGAGCGATAGCAAGTTTCAAGTCGCACGAAAGGATGGGGATGCAAAGGGGTGGTTAAGAGGTGTGCTGCATGCAGCCAGTTTCGGCCCCGCCGTTTCTTCAAGGCTCTGGCGCCTCCGGCGCGCCAGGAGGCGCCGGAGGAAGCAGCCACGTGAGCTGATTCGCCAGCGCCCCTTTTAGTAACCCCTTGTTTCGTTCTAGCCCCAGACTTCCGACGGTGTGTTTTTCAGTGCGCGGCCCAAGAGGTTCCGACCTACCTCTTCCCCATGGGGGGAGTTCATCGCTCCGGATGTGGTTTTGCGTATCCCGGGGCCTACTTTTGGTAAGTCTTGAATTCTGGTCCTCCCCCCGCCGTTTTCTCTCGACGGTGACTGGGACTGGTCTTAAAACCCCCCTCGTCGCGTCGGAGACTATTGTCCCTCTATTGTCGTGCGGGTTGGATCCCGTTGCGGGTTTCTTTCCCCCAGGGAATAATGCCCCCTGGGCGACCCTGCACGACAGAACAATATTGAGCACGTTTGAAAGAGGAGTGCAATACAGATCGACACAGTCTTCGCCGAAGGCGTTGCTCAGTCTTTCTGAGGATGGAGTTTCTGAGGGCCCTCGTGGGCCCTGAGTTTCAGCATTATTTTTAGGATGGAGCTTCTCAGGATAAAGTTTCTGAGCATCAAGTTTCTGAGCTAAGATTTTCCGTGAGAGCGCTCCTGAGGCATAAGTACCAGTAGTCGTCGTAGTCGTAGTCGCAGTCGTAGTCGTAGCTGCCGGCGTCGTTGTTGCGCGGCGGGCGCCGCGGGGAACAAATCATTAGTTGCCGCCAGTGGTGGACCACTGGTGGACCACCAGTCCGTGAACGAGGCCGCCGAAGAGGTAATCAGTTGCCCCCCATTGTGGGGTGGGGGGGGTTTTGCAGGCTTGCCGAGGTTCAGAGGCCCGTCCCTCCCTCCGATGCCGCCGCTCCTCCCGCCCCCCTCCCCCGCCCCGCCGCTTCCCTCCCGGGGCGGCGGCCGAGGCCCTGGTCGCGGCGATGGCCTCCGCGGCCGCGCGCGAGCAAGACAGGCGGGGGCCCCGCTCCCGCGAGGGGGGAGGAGCGGGAAGGAGGAACTTTTTAGAATTGCGCGCTGGTTCGCCGAGGGGACGGTCAGCTTAGTGCGGCACTCGCTAGCTGCTGGCAGAAACACGCGGTATCTAGCAGCACGGGCGCCAAGGTGTAAGTGCCCCGCCCGGCCATATTCATGCCACCCCCCAGGGGGGAAGGAGGGGGGAGGAAGGAGGAGGACCAGGAGGAGGCGAACGGACCTCAGCGCCCCCCACAGCCGCTTGCGCGGGAGCGGGAGGTCCCGTTCGAAGAAGAAGCGGGCGAAAGGGGTCCCACATGTGTCCGCATTCCGCACTTATCGCCAAGCGATTGCCCCCATCCAGCCCACCCATTTGCTACGCCATGTGGACGTTCGCCGAACCGTGATCCGGCTTAGCGCATCGCGACGGTGGCGTCACCTCGCCGTTGGAGGAAGAGAGTGTGTTTGTGTGTGTGCTTGTGTCTGTGTGTCTGTGTGTGTGCGTTTGCATGCGCGCGTGTTTGCGTGTGCGTGTGTGTGGGTGTGGGTGTGGGTGTGGGTGTGTGTGCGTGTGCGTGTGCGTGTGCGTGTGCGTGTGCGTGTGCGTGTGCGTGTGCGTGTGCGTGTGCGTGTGTGTGTGTGTGTGTGTGTGTGTGTGTGTATGTGTGTGTGTGTGTGTGTGTGTGTGTGTGTGTGTGTGGGGGAGGAGTGTTGTGCGTGCGCGCGTGCGCGCGTGCGTGCGCGTGCGCGTGCGCGTGCGCGTGCGCGTGCGCGTGCGCGTGCGCGTGCGCGCGTGTGTGTGTATGTGTGGATGTGCGTGTGCGTGTGCGTGTGCGTGTGTGTGTGTGTGTGTGTGCGTGTGTGTGTGTGTGTGTCCCTGAGCGGTTCGCTCCCTCTGCCCCTCGTTCGGCCGCGTCCTCCGCCTCTTCCTCCCTCCTGCATTGTGGCCCAATTCGTTTCAACGCCACCCCCTTTTAGGCGTTTCCGCTAGCGCAGACGACCTCTGCTTCGCCGCCGACGCTAACAAAACGTGTGTGTGTGTGTTTGTGCGTGTATGTGTGTATGTGTGTTTGTGTGTATGTGTGTGTGTGCGTGTACGTGTGTCTGTGTGTGTGTCATTCGGGTTCTCTTCGGCTACTCCGCCGCGTCGTTACGCGCGTCGCCGCGACCCTAAACAACAAGTGTGTGTGTGTGTGTGTGAGAGTGTGCGTGTGGGCGTGCGTGCGTGTGTGGGGGGGCGTTTGTGTGTACGTGTCTGCGCGCGCGGGCGAGGGCGCATGCTTGTGTGAAGTCTGGAAGGCCTCGGAGGTGGGCGCTCTGTCCTTCCTTCTGGCCTTGATTTCCCGGCTGCCCCCGATGTGGACTCGGCAAGGCTCGCGGCGTTTGGGTCGTGCTGCTCTGGGGGGAGGGGGGTCAGGCGCTGAAACGGGCAAGCTGGAGAAACAGGGGGCGAGGGATGCGGAGAGGAGGAAGAGGAGGAAGGGGGAGGAGGAGGGGGAAGGGGGAAGGGGAAGTGGGGAAGGAAAAACAAACTGCATGAGCATGAACTGTCGGAACTCCAGGCTCATTTCCTGAGTCTGTCGTAGGCCCTCTCCGGGGGAACGTCTGGCGCCGCCCCTACAGCACGCTCCGTGCCCGAGGGAAGGGTGTCCAGCGCTGGTCCAAGAAATCCGCGCGGAGCTTAGACAGTTTCATGCGAATGCAGTTATTTCTCTCATGTGGGGACATGGGAAGGACCCCCCCCGCTGGACAGGATCGACAGGGAGAAGCAGAAGGACCCGGCAGATGCCTCCGCGGGGATCGGTCTTGCCCTCTGAGTTGGCGCGCGGTTTGAGACAATCCGAAAACAGCATGCTCCCGACAGATCGAATGACGTCCATCCCTCTGCCCCCCTACCTTTCCCTCCTTGTGTCATTGGTACCCTGCGTGGCAAGCACAAAGGCCCTCGTGCATGCCTTGTTGGGCTCTAGAGAGTATGTTGCTGAGCGCGATGGTGAAAGCTTGGTTTTGTTTTAATGGTGCCGCGCGGAATGCTTATACGTCTACCCATACCAGTACCACACTTTCTACGCCAATGCAATGAACAATACTTCCATGCCAGTTGATGTGCGCACGATGAGTTATTGCATTCGCATTTGTGTGACCACGATCCTGCAATCACGACTTTGCTTCCACTCCTCTTGTCTTCGCGGTACTTTCAGCATTGCAGATAGTTTTGACACCCCATGCTGACTCTTGTCCGTCCACTGTTCTCGCCGCGCGTGGCCATTCCGGTCAGCACCCCACCAGACGTGGCATTGAGCGTTGTTCTGCAACCTCGCTGCTCATGGCAGGGACAGATCGACCTGCCCTGCTGTGAGGCAGCATCTGCTTTTTCGGCACGAGAGACTCGCATCCAGCGTCGGATGTCGCGCTCCATACATTTGCTCAACGTGAGATTCATCCAGGCGCCTGCGTCGAATTCGCCACCGTGCCAGCGAAGCGCGCTGCGCGTGCCCGCCCTTCCAGCACCGCTCGCAGTGCCGCCGCGTGTGACACCTCTCATCTCCGATTCTCAAGGAACCCTTGCGGGATTTGTTTTTGTTGGCCGCCTTGGGGCTGTCTTAGGCTCTCGTGGGACAGCGGCAGATTCGGGGCTCACCCACGTGGGATTCGTTGCGGGTTCTTTTTGTCCGGTTTGCGGCTCCATTGGGCCATTTTGGGGCCCTCTTAGTTGTTTCGGGCGTCTCTTTAGGGCCGTCGTGGAGCGTCCGAGCACAGTAAATGACTACCACCACCAAGATCGAGAATAATCTGCGATGCGATTTGGTGTAGTTTTGCTCTGTTGTAAAGCCCGCAGTCCCCCTCCCGCCGCCAACGGCAACCGGGCTGCCCCCTCTCTCTTAAGGACCGAAACAGAATTCATCAAAGCACGTGCGGTGGTGGTGTATAAAATTCAGGTTACCAAGAGGAGCCGCTTTTATACACCACTACCAAGAAGTGCTGTTCTGCTTCAGGAACTCCCCATGCCGCGGCGCCTGCGAGCTGCGCCGCGCTCCTTTTCGCCGTGGCGTCGCAGCGTCGTCTGGCATGGCCCTGCCCCTAACCCTCGCAGGCAGCAAGTGGATTGATTTTGGACAGAGTGGGGAAGGCGACAATCATTCAATAGTTGAGGAGTATGTATTGGGAGTTGTATTGGGGTGTCTTACAGGCATCTGCGACCTATTGGGCGCTTCTGAGTGGCTGATAGGTGCGTCTTGAGGCGATATTTGGCCATCTTGGCGGCCTTGGTGGACTTCCTGGGCTGTCCTGGAAGCCTCTGTCCTTGAGGCCTCGGAGCGCCTTCGATGGCGCCAGGGAGGCGTCAGGCCGCCCAGAAGGCCACGTGAGAGGGGGGGGGGCTGCATGCGGACAGGGCGCCAGGGGAGGGGAGGGCCCCCCCCAAGAGGGCTGCACAGACCCTGCAAGGCGGCACTTGGCATTCTGCCACGCTTCAGCGTGCCAGGGGGCACGGTGGCAGACACGAGTACGCGATCCATTCATACGCTTGCTCTTGGCATTGCTCGGGCGCGTGCTTTTTTCTCGACGAGGACGATCGAGGAGCATCCTGGATCATCTGGCGAAAGAAGCGCGCACGAAGCCAAACCATGCACGGGTGGTGTGCGTTCAAGGGTGTTGGGATACAGTGTGTGTTTCTTCTGTTGCCCGTAGGAGAAAGGCGGCGACCGGGACAGGAGACGAGGGAACGAGGTGGACAGCCGCACTCCTGGTGCCGAGAGAAGTGGGGGGAGGGGCATACAGATGATTCGCATGATGACTCGGCATCACACATGGAGCTTTCCAAAAACGGCCTCGCCTTCGAGGATCGAATGTGTGTCGCGTCTTCCTCTCACGTGCCGCCCCCTGCAGAGGTGGGGGACGCGCGGGGAGCGACTGCCTCGTCGCCTCATGCCCGCCCTCGTTTCGGGCGTCGGTCGCACTTCGATCGCGCCGCGCTGGTTGCTCGGTTGTTGCGATCGCCCCCGCGACACTTCCTGGGCAATGGGAGTTGCGCTTGAAAAGGAAGGCGGCGAAAGTAAAATATGTGCCTCCAAGAGGTGATAACGTTTCCGGGTTCAGGGTTAACGGAATCCGCCGCATGATATTGGCAAGTTGCTTAGGGTCATAGATCAATTGTGATGGTTTAGTGTTGAGTGCATGGCGGTGGTAGCATCGAGTCGTTAGTTCCTCGATCAAAGCTGAAGTTCCTCCCGTGAGAGGTGTTGCCGTATGAGTGGCAAATGGTCTGGATTTCTTCTGTTGTGAGACATGTGGATTAATGCGAACACCAGTGCGCATTATGTTGTCATCGCGCAGTGGGGTTTTACACACGCCTTCGCGTTTGGCCGCCGATGTCTAGTCGCATCATTTTTGCGCATAGTTGAAACTACAGGGCAGTAAGGAATAATGGGAAGGGCCAGTCAGGGGACAGGACACCGTGAACAAACAACGACGGAGCGATATTCAGATTTGGTCCACCGGGGATGCTCCCCTCGAGGGAAGCACTGGCAAATCCTTGCTCGGTCCCCCGTCTTGGTCCAGTCGCGGCTGTCCCTCTCTTTGCGACGGGGAAGTTGTTTGCCCTTCTTTTTGGCCCTCCCGGTTTGCCCCGAGATCGGCGGGCCCCCCTCGGCGGCGGAGCGCGCGGCGCCCCGCGGCGCCCGTCGCAGCCGCGCGATTGTGTTTGCGCGCTGCCGCGTGGCGCTTGCGAGAGGAAGAGGGGGATGGGGGTGAGGATGAGCGGGGCGAGGATGAGGATGGGTGGATTGCGGGAGGGAGGTTGGGAGGGCGAGGAGACGGAGGAAGGGGGAGATGGACAGAGAAGGAACGAGGGGGGGAGTGGACTGATGGGGGAGGGAGGAGAGGAACGAGCGGAGGGAGGAGGGAGGGAGGACGCGGTGACGAGGGGGATGAGGAGGGAGAGAAGGAGGAGTCAAATTTTCAACACAGTACGTAATTATGGAAGGGCTTGGCAGAGAGAGATATCCCAGGGCACGGTTGCCCCGGGGGGATGGGCGGGGCAAGCGCCGCCTTTGCCTCGCGGCTGCGGCGGGGGCGCCTGCGCTCACAGCGGCTAAAACATCGTGGCGTCAGAAACGCGAAAGTCAACAACAGTAGGCGTATAGTCCCCGTCTTTCCTTCGGTGCACTTTTGCCTACCGCGGGCCCCAGGCTAGGCCAACGCAGAAAGCCGCATGACCGTGTCGTAGCATGTTTTTGGGGCCCGTTCATTCCACGCGCAGTGGCTGAATTTCTCGCGCTGGTCTCCTGGAGGTTGCGCAGGCGTCGGGAGATCCCCGGAGGTCTCTCCGATGGCCTCCAGACGCCCAGAAGAGCTCAATCTGCTCGAAGCCGCATGAGAAGCTCAAGGGAGGAGGAAGAGACAACATGAGTGCTTCTATTCGTGGGTGAGCATGCTCCGCATTAAGTGTCAGGCTGACTTGAAAAAAGAAACGCACCTCTGGCGTTCAGGATCGGGCAACCGAAGTGTCTTGCGCAATGCGCCAGCGCCTCGCCGCTGAGGAGTGCAGGGGCGAGGCGGAGGAAGACGGGGGGATGAGAAGGGATATCGAGGATCGAAAGCGGGGGGAGACGCACCAGCGTCGCCCTTCAAGACCGAAAGTCTAGCTGTGGAGAGCGCGCTCGATGCGTTAAGTAGAGACTTGGGGAAAGAAGCCTCGGCCGCTCTAAGCGCCCGACGTGGCGAGAGGCGCCCAGTGCCGCGGCGCCCTAGGCTGGGTGGCCCGCGTGGGCGGGGCCTGACTTCACTGAGCGCGCAGGTGGCCGTGCGCATTTCTGGCGCCGGGCACTCTCGCGGCGGGGTACGCCAGCCAGCTACTTGTTTGTCCAGGGCGTAAGGGTTTCGCCGAGGGCAGTCCGCCCGGAGCGACCTCCAACGGGCCTTCACACGCCTTGCTCTCCTAGGGCCACTCTCCAGGAAACCAGCCAGGCGCGATTCGTCGCTCAAAGCTGAGGCACCAGCTGCCGGCCCACTTGGACCCCGCGCGCTGCGAGAACCCCGCAGTTGTTTCCAGCTTCCCCAGAGGTCGCCCGCACGGGCGCGAGGATGCCCTCGAAGCGTTCCACGTTTCGCGGCAGGGGCCGGAGAGTTGCCATCCCCCCCGGGCAGGGCCGCGCGAGGGCGCGAGGGTTTCGCCTCGCGCGGAGCAGCGCGCGAAGTCGGTGGCAATTTTTTGTTGCTGTCCGTTGCTGCTCGAGCTGGCTGGGGTTCGGCGCGCCATGCGCGAGAGTCATTTTCAGCGCGATTTGCCGTCCCCCCGACGATTGACCCATACTATTGCTGATTAGTGGCCGCTTGTAGGCGCTAGTGGGTACTGGGTAGGCGCCAATAGGCGCTAGTAAGGACATTGATATACACTACCCGTCAGTCGTTGAGGCTCGGTATTTTTGGATTCACATATCCAAATATACTTCTAGCACCTTCCTATTTCCAAACATCCATATGTGTTTGCTGCCGTTTGCTATTCTCTTGGGGGGGGGGCCTGAACCGCCTTTCAACTTCATGCTCCCATTTACTTGTTCAACCGACGTGTGCACCGATGTCCTATTCAAATTTGAAATTTCGACGTGGAGTTCTCGACGCGCACATCCTGCCCGCGTCGAAATCGCTGCATCGGCTGCATCCGAAAGCGCTTTGGCTCAAGCCGCCGACGGACCCGAAGGTCATCCGCTGCTGGCCGCATGGTCCGCCACCCTGGCCGGACCGAGGGTGGGTGGGTTGCCCACCGTCTCAAGATTGGTCCGACTACTGGTGTGGGGCCAGACTGCAATCATGGTTAAGACCTGGGTGTCACGTGCGCCTTGGCTACCGTGGAGGACGCGCGTTGAGCCTCCCGTCGGTGCCGCACTGGTACTATAACACCCAAGGCCGGACGGGGCTCAACATGGGCATGGCGTCCTCGAGGACTATGCGGGAGTAGTACATGGGCGACGTTGAGCGTCTGACCTCAGAGGCTCAACATGGGCACGGAATCTTCGAGGACTATGCGGGGGTCATGGTGGGCCTCTGGTATGAATGGCTCGACGTGGGCCCCTTCGACGACTACCCTGGAGTCGTGTTGAACTTCTGACCTGAGGGCCTCAACATGGGCTCAACTCTGGCGCGAGATCCTGAAGTCCTCTGAAACTTCGCGGGGCCACGTTGAGCCGCTGCAGCGAGGGTCTCAATGTGGCTCCAACGTGGGCACGGAAGCTTCGAGGTGTTTTGTGGGAGTCGCCGTTGTGCGACGTTGCGCCCTTGACCCCAACCTGGTTTCGTCGTGGGCACGGCGTCCTCGAGGTCCGCGCGGAAGCCATGCGTGGGCGACGTTGAGCGATTGGCATGAGGGCTTCAACGCGATCTCAACGTGGGCCTGGAATCTTCAGACGATGTAGAGTCTCGATTGGGCAACGTTGAGCCCTAGGCCTAAGGTTTTCAACGTGGTCGCAACATCGGCACGGAGTCTTCGATGACTACGCGGTAATCATGGCGGTACCATTATTCGGAAGGCCTCGTCGCGGTCTCAACACGGGCGCGAATTCCTCGATGGCCATGCGTTCTTCATGTCCAGAGAGTGTCTTTGAAGGCTTCAACATGACCCCAACAGGGCCAAGATGTCGCCAATAAGTCATCGAGGACCGCGCGAGGGTCACATGGTCGACGTCGATGGCTTCGCAGGTGGACCGCGCGCGTCGACGAGGCAGCGGCGACGCGGGCCCGAACATTTAGATCCTGAGCAGGAAAGCGGCTGCAATGGGCGCTTATTGGGCTGGGCCCGTCTTACAATCGTCCTCGCACACAATGCACGTGCATGACAGAGGCCAACTGGGTTCTGGGCCTCCGCTGGGCCCCTCCCTCAGTCCGCTGGGGCCATCACCACCAGCGGGCCACCTCCAGCTATCAGGGGCGGAGGTCGAAAGAATATCGATTGCATGAACATGAAGATTTCCCGGGGCTACGCGTGGATTTCTTGGATCTGCGCTGGGAGCGCTCGTTGCGAGGCGCGGCTGCTGGAGCGCACTCCGAGGCAGGAGGTCCTCCAAGAGCCGGCGGCAGCCTCCGCCGAGACGCGAGGGCCACCCGCGGGGCCGCTCCTCGGCGACCGGTCGATCCGGACCCCTGCCTGCTGCCCCCCCCCCCCCATTCGGGGCGCCAAGGGCAGCATGGGCAGGGATCTGTAAAAAAGCGTGGCATCGCAGGCCAGGGTTCGGTCCATGTCCCCGGTCCAGCCCTTCGCGGGGCTCGGGGCGTCAGCAGGGGGCATGGCGACAGTGTGGATCGCCCAGCTCCTGCCCGCCCCCTGTCCCTGGGGGGCCCTCGCAGTTGGGCGGGGCCACGGAGGCGACGTCGGCGAAGCATCGGCGACGTCGGCGTGGGGAAGTGCTGGCTCCACATCGAACCGTGCGATGCATCCGCAATGCGGAGCGGTCCTCCGAGTCCATCCATTCGGACCCAATTTGGGAGGCTCGACGTACCCCCCTCTCCGCTTCGTTTCGTCCGCTTCGATTCGACCAGTTCCGATTCATCCGCCCGGGCCTCGAAGGAGGACGAAACGAAAGAGGGCGAAATGAAAGGGGACGAATCGAAGGAGGACGAATCGAAAGCTGACGAACTCGGGCGGGGTTCGGACGACGACATATCTGATCTTGAGCGTTCCAGAACGCTCTGAGAAGGCCGCAGCGCGTAACACATCCTCCAGAGCCGCCAGATCTCAGAGACTCTCGATTCATCCTCACCCGATTTTTATCCTCGTCCTGGCCTCGAACAAACACTGGGCAGCCCGCAGGCGCAGGGGGCGGCCGAGACAGCAATGGGCTGACCAAGTGTACACACTTATCTGATTACAAGTCCCTTTGGTCGCGTCTTCTCCCCTCTCCTCTTCCTGTTCTTCCGTTATCTTCCCGAGGCAGTCGCGAAACCGCGAAAGTGAGCCAAAGTGCTCGCGTTGTCTCTTGCCGACGCGCCGGTAGGCGCATCGCTCCTGGACTGCGCTGGACTGGAGCGGCCGCGAGCGGCGGCGAGCAGCGGGCGGCGCGGAGCGTCCTGCGCCTGCGGGCCCTCGACGGACGCGGCGGCCGGCGCCGAGCCGTCGGGGGGCGGCCGCTCTGCGGGGGCAGCGTCGAGGGCGAACCTTCGGCCGCGCGGAGGGGGGGGGGGGGGAGGAGGGGGGGGGAGGGGGGAGAAGGGGGGAGGGAGGGGGCAGGAGGGAGGAGGGAGGAGGGAGGCAGCGCGAGAGCGAGGTGCGAGGTCTCACAGTTCGACGGGGCCGCGGAGGCAACGGCCTCCGCGGCTCCGGTGCCGAGGCGCCCGCCGCCGCCGCCGCCGGGCAGGCAGGGGGCCCTCCCCTCCCCACGCCGGGCAGCGGGGAGGTGCGCCCAGCCACGGCAGCCGCGGCAGCGCGCCGATAGGCCCCCCCCCCCCCCGCGCCGCCGCCCGCTCGAGGCTCGAGGTTTCTTGGGGCGACCTCGTCTGATCTCGCCGGTTTTCCAGCCTCGCCGCGAGCGTTCCGGGGGGTGCTGGGATCGTCCCGAATGGCTGCCGGGGACCCGAGTTATGACCCGAAGATTTGACGACGAGGATCACAGGGGGACAGGCTCAGGAGGGGACGCGTGGACCCCCAATCGCCCATGCATTGCTGATAGGGGCCCGCTCGCCCACCCCGCTCAGGAACTTGCGGATTCGCTATCGGGGGCCCACCGCCGACATGGCCATGTATCGCCGATTCCGTTTCGATGCGTCCCCCCGCCATTTGCGTATCCGCGCGCTCCTCGCCGTCGTCGTGATTCTGTCGCTCTCGTCCTCATCCTCCTGGTGGCCTCTCGAGCACACCTCTGGCCCGAAAGCGCTGAAGCGCCGAGGCCAGTTCCAGGCTTGCTGGACTCCTGAAGGGCCAAAGCGTTTCGTGGAAAGCACTTGCCAAGTTGAGCCTTCGGCGCGACCACGCGCTCCTCTCCAGGCCTCCCACGTAAGGTCCGAGCAGATGGAGTCGGAGGACCGCGCTGCATGGCTGATGCATCGGCGCTGCGGCTCGAAGTGGAACTCTGTTTCCTCCACGCCAGCGGTCCGACGCGTCGCCGATCTTGCCGATGCATCGCCGGTGCATCTGCGGTGCATTGGCGACGCGGCGCGATCCTCCGCCCCCATCTACTCGAAACCCATCTGGGAGGCCTCCGTCTCCGCCGCCGTCGCCACGATGCCGTCCGCGTCGTCGTCCGCCGAGATCGTTGCAAAAAGTTGCCACGTCGCAGAAGAATCACCTCGGGAGCCTGGGCCCCGGGGCCCGAGACAGAGCGACAACGGCCCGGTGTGAAACATTTGCTACGCCAGGATCTCAGGTCGGGGGCGGCAAAGAGGGGGGGGATGACTAGGGGGGGGTGGATATCATGGCGTGGGCCATGATATGTCCCAAGATGTCATGGCGCCTCTCCTTATTTCATTACGTCCCTGGTCCCCCCACTTTGGCCGCGCACATGCCGCCGGCCATGATTTGCACCCCCCCCTCTTGGACGCCCCCCTCTTGGCCCCCCCTTATCAGGGTCCTCGTCGTCGTCTTCGTGGGGGCCTCGAGCGGCTCTGGACGGACCCGGGGCGTCTCGGGGGGTGGGGTGGGGCGTGCGGGCGGCTGCTGCCGCGGCCACGGCCCGCTCGGCCTCCGAGGGGCGGGCTCGAGCCGTGGGCCCTGGCGGCACGCCGGCTCGGCACCGATCGCCGGTGCGGCGCCCGCGGTCGGCACTCTGCCAGGGAGCCCCTGCTTCCGTTCGGGGGAGCGTAAGACCCGGGTTTGCCAGGACTCGGGTTCGCCATTTTTTTTTGACGACCGCGACTCGGATTTTGACGAGTAGGAGTTTCGTGGGATGTCTGCAGCGGGAGGCCTCGTCAAAATGCAGGCTCGGCCTCGTCATTTTTGACGACCTCGTCGGGGATTTCCGAGTCCCCCGTACCCGGGTCTTACGTCTCCCCGATCCGTTAGTGCATCACTTGTAGACCGGCGTAGTCCCCAATCACAACTCGCCACCCACCAGACCACCCCAACCCAACCCGAAGGCTCAAATTTACCCTCGATTTCCAGTGGGGGGGGGTCGGGAAACATTGAACAAACACATGTGGAACCCTTACCCCCCAAACCCGAAATTCGGGTCTTCGGGTTGGGTTGGGGTGGCCTGGTAGGTAGTCAACAACCCCTTCCCTCATGCGCCGTTCGATGTACTTGCTCCGCATGGCTGGTCTGCGGTCATCGCCAGCCAACGCGTGGGCTCTCAGCGCGTTCGCCCGCTCCGCCAGCGTACCTGCGTCCACGTCGTCCCCGTGGCAATTGAAAGCAGGGTTGTCACTGTCATTGCCACAACAATCGACGAAGGTGTCGTCGTCAGTGGGCATCGGCGCTGACGAAGGTGTCTTTGATAGCCTCGGCGTTGGCCCAATAAGGGCCCTTCTCGTCCCAAGTGCCGAAATTCTTAGGCCCATGAGTCCCCCAGAGTTGCTCGAAGCGCTCGATGTCGAGATCGAGTCTGACATAACCACCACCGCCGCTCGGGTGCAAAGCATGAGGCCAAGTGTTTACTGCGTCTGCCAATGATTGATGCTTGGACTTCTTGCCTTTTGTGCTTGTCTTCGTGTCTGCGCCAAGGATCGTCGCCATCCGACTGATTAAAGATGCTCCGACTCGCGCAGCCCCAGCCGTTGCCGCGTGCACTGCGCGGACCAATCTCTCCTGAGCACTGGGGCCAGCGGGCAGGCGGCTGCCGTTCGGCTGGTTGCCCGGCGCACAGTCCCAGGGCAGGGTATCATACAACGGATTTTGCAAACCACCGTTTGCCATTCGCCTGGCGAACTCCACAGTGTCTTCTTTGACGCGGTCGTTGACGTTGATAAGGCTAGCCAGCATTGTTTCCCTGGAAAACTTCATCCGCCGCGGCAGCATTAAGTAGCGCACGTAGGCGCATCGAGCTTCTTGGCCTTCGAGGAAGGGCCCCACATAAGGAATCGTAGTGTAATCCTCCGCAAAGGAATCCTATTGTAATCCTCCACCAATGGAATCCGGTTGCAATCTTCCACACAAGGAATCCTTCCGCAATTCTCCACAAAAGGAATTCTTTGCAATTCTCCAGAATCCTCCACAAAAGGAATCCGAGTGTAATCCTGAAATCAAGTTTCTTTTGTTGTTTTGTTTGTTTGTTTGTTTGTCTCCCTGGCTTTGGCTGTGCAGGCTATAGGAACCTCTGATTCTTGGATTTCCAACAATTTGTTTGTTTTGTTTCCGGCCTTTGTTTTTGCTGTCCAGGCACAGGGAAGTTCGAGGCCGATGAAGGCCAGCCAATATATTTCCATGGAGCCGCATTTTAAAACAAGTTTCATCGCCCATGAGCTTCCTTGTGCCTGGACGTCAAAAACAACAGGGGGAAACAAACAATACATGCTTTAGGAAATCCTGGAATTTGAGCTTCCAATAACCTGCACAGCAAAAGCAAGGGCGAGGAACAAAACAAACACAAACAACAACAACAACTTTATCTTAGATACTTGGAAACTGGATTGGAGGATTACACTAGGATTCCCTCTGCGGAGAATTGCGGAATGATAATTTTGTAGAGGATCACAAGAGGTTTGTTGGTGGGGGATTGTAAAATCTATTCCTTTTTGTGAAGGATTACAATCGGATTCTTGTTGTGGAGGATTATACTAGAACTCCTTTTGTGGAGAAGTTTAATGCGATTCCTTTTTTGTGGCGAATTGCAAAAGGATCCTTGTTGTGAAGGATGACCAAAGGATCCCTTTTCGAGGCTGATTTCAAAAAAAATCCTTTTGTGGCGGATTAGAGCAGGATTCCTTTTGTGAAGGATTTCAATCGGATTTCTTTGGTGTATGAATACAACAGGACCACGCCAAATTCGAACCGAAGAAGTGAACAAATAATTCGATTACAACTATCATTTATGTACAAACATGCAAACACGGATCTTGGGAACCGCCCCTGCCATATTCCGTTTCCTCTATGTTTCCAAGCCCGGGCGGGGGGACCCCCCCCCAAAACCGGACGGACTCCCGGGATCTGGGGCTTTGGGGCTCTCCAGACGGGCTTCGAAGCGGCCTCCCGGGCCTCGCAGGGCGTTTCGCCAAGCCTTCCCAGCACACCTGGGGCGATCAGGGGGGTCATCAGAGTGACCGACGTGACTTCAAGATGGCCTTAAGAGGCCTCCAGGACGGCCCGAAAGAACTTTAAGGGTAGCTCTTTGGGAGATGTTATATAGAATCGGGAGTATAGCTCGCGCGCCGTTGCCTTTGGCTCAAGGCACCCGCGCCCTATTTGCCCCGACACTTACCTTAGTGTTCGCTATGTGCTGGAAAGATCATTACATCGATCTTATCCTATCATATCCGCCCATTCCCCATACTGAACCACCCCAGCATGGCAATGGACGCTATCTGCCATTCGATTCCCATGGGAGCGGATGTTATTTGACTTACCATAGTCACTTTCGACTTGGTAGCGGAGCTGGTCGCACTCTCGTGTGGTCAGCTCTTGCTCTTCTTATCCTCACGCTATACGGCACGATCTTCGTGACCAACTACCTCCCTGCGCCACCACTCCCAGTACATCTACGAGGATCTATTCAAGAACAAGAAGCAACACGAGAGGTACGACGTCTAGACAACAACATTGGTACCATATACGCTTCATCACTGCGCTACTACCAACCGCTCGGCAACGAGCCAAAAGCGCAGTACTTGAAGCATGGGCGGAGAGATCCGCCAGATAGAGCGCCTCGAAGACTTGACAAGGCGCTACCCCAGCGCGGCAACGCGCCTAATAACCACCCCTATATTCACAGCCTTGGGCTGGTTATATTCGCCATCATATGGTTCGCGCTGGGGGCAGCAATCGGACACATGCGTCGTGGAGAGAACAGCACCGATGGGCAAACATATGGCCCATACTGGGACCCTCAAGGCAACGTACCTTTCCGCGGGTACGTTTATGAGGCCAACGCGTGGCTCAACGCCACAAGTGGACCCATGGCGCCACAGGCCCAAGCGGCCGCCATGCAACGCGGCCCGGGTGGCCTAGCGAGGACACTCGCCATGATGGGTGCCACCTGACATTATAAACTACGGCGCTGACATCGATGGGGTCCACACCGACCCAGCGACCTACATCATGTTTCTCCTAAGCATGAAGTTCGAGCGCCTGGAAGATGAGCGGCAGCTCACTTCCGGCACACAGCTCATCGACTCGCACGTGCCTCACGGAGAACGAATCGACGTCACCCTCACCCGATTCGAAATGGCCCGACTTGAGGCGCAGTCGGTGGGATTTGACCTTCCCAACTTCCAACTACTAACTACGATCCTATTCCGCGCCTTAGGCGTCGGCAACCAGCGAGCCACGCAACTCTTACAGCCACTCAAT